CAAGAGCGGATTGCGTTTCCGGGGAAGACAAAAGAAAAATCAGGAATTTTTCCAGTCAGGAAAAGTCAACAGTTTCCCCCAAAAATATACAATTTAGGAGTGGAAATTTGGCAACGTTCAAGTGCAGTTACATTGTTTTGTCTGAAATAGTGCATCTGCTGTCGCATTCGACGGATCGCAAAACCGTGAGTCTCGCGCCGAGCGAAGAAGAGCGGGTTGCGTTTCCGGGGAAGGCAGGCTCGAAACTGGGAACCCCCTCGGGGATTAGCCTGCGTAAGTCGATCTTGAAACCTCGTAAACGTAATGGTAAATAGGTTAGGTTGCCTGAGAGGGGGGAGGGGGCGCGGGGATGTAGGATTGCAGCCGGCAGCGAGGCGGGTGATCGATATTGACACTAGACAGGCCGATGGAAAAAGGGTAGGTGACAGGCGATGGGGTACGCCGGCGAGGGGGAGGGCCGGGGGCGGGAGAAAGGGCATGGTAAACTTTCCTGGCGGCTCCGAGCGAGGCGAGGGTGAAGGAAAAGTGCACGGAGATTGCAGTGCAATACCAGGCGGAGCGGGGAGGGCAGGGGGCTGACCTCATACCGCACTCCCGCACAGAGGTACAAAATCGGTAAATTGTGGAAAGCTAACGATTCCTTCGTGTAAAGCTTCCCGAATAACGCCTCCCCTTTATTATGGTATGATTGGATTGCATTTTGCAAAAAGGAACCACGAGCATTGCAATGATGCTAAGATTGTGCAAATTCATCCTTTGCAGTAAAATAACTGAAATCATGAAAAAAGATGAAATTTACATGGTAATTTTTGTCTTAGATTCACAGTTTTCAGCGAGTAAAATAGAAACTGTCAATGGACAATCAGGTTTTCTTCTAACACAAAAGAAGTTGCACAATCTTAGCAACATTGCAATGCTCGTGGTTCCTTTTTGCAAAATGCAATCCAATTAAAGTAGTTAGGAATACAAAAAAAAGATAAAAAGAAGAAGAGGAGTTATAGTTGTAATGCATTTAATTAATCTGGGTAATTCTTATGTTAATTAGAATTAGTGCGATTGAAGCGCTGGGTGGAGAAAGGGCTTCTCTTAGTTTCGGTGTCTGTGAATCTACACTGCTAATTTACGTTTTAGAAAGGTAACAAATGGGTGAATTTTCTGCAATTTTTCGTTTCAGCATTGGAAAATCATAAAGAAAATTCAGTATTTCAACGAATCCCATTCATTTGCTTTCATTATAATGGACGCACACAGCTTGGCTTCACTTCGAAAGTACAATAAAAAATTAACATAATTCAATGTGTGCTCGCTCCGTAGTGAGAAAATTCCTTAACTTGTAGAATTTCAATTGTCACCTCTATTCACCATAGGTGCCCGAATTCATTCCGACTCCAATTTGCAAGTTTTCTCCCTTGGGAGCCTATCGAAAGCACTGAGCGACTGATTCACCAGTCCAGTCACTGCTCTCGCCCCCCCCCCTCCCCGTTCCCCTCTCGAGCACTTCCCTCCAAGCTGAGGTATCGTGAATAATGTAGAATCCGTACAACTTGGACTCAAAAATCGATGCAAGCAAGCGATTCAATGAGTGACGAGTGACTGCATGACCGCTCTTGCTAATTTCCCTTGTCTAGTTCATACTCAGAGCTCTTCCGAATTACGATCGCAAACCAAGACTTTTATTTTCATTTTTATTTCAGGTCATCTCTAAATTTGTGCATCATTTAGCGACACACATGTACACACAACAATAAAAACTCGGGAGAACAGATATACAGCAAGTAAATATTCGTTTTCCACCTTCACTCAGGGCCGAATTTACTTACTTGCCGCCTATGGGCCGCCTGTATTTTGCCGCCCCTTCTCATTCGTTTTGAAACATAAATAAAAACCATCAAGTGAAAGTGCCGGAGGGGGAGGGGTTCATAAGACGCGTTTACTCGTGTTGGACACATTTTTTGCGAGAGCCCGGTCAACACTATACTAGCAAAAGTTCACGGAACTTGGCGTGATAGTTAAGTTCCGTAAACCTATCTCTGTGTGGACGATGCCTTCCATTTATATGAAATGAACGAAAAAATAATGACAGAACAAACATAAATGTGGTTTAAAAATTTTAACTTTCGCCGTCGCGCCGCGCTGACCGCTCTGTGTTTGGCGGAATGCGTGAAGTATTCCTACAGTTTTGTATGCGCTATGAGTTTCACGCAGACCGCTGCTGATCGCTCTGTGTTTGACGCAATGCATGAAGTATTCATGCAGTCTTGTAGGCGCTATGCGTTTCACGCAGACCGCTGCTGACCGCTCTGTGTTTGACGCAATGCATGAAGTATTCATGTTGTCTTGTAGGCGCTAGGCGTTTCACGCCGCCCGCTGCTGACCGCAGCGACCGCACTGTCTTTGACGCAATGCGTGAAGTATTCATGCAGTCTTGTAGGCGCTAATATGTGTCACAAAATTCCGAGTTCGGTTTCTCTCTTAGTCTTAACTCGACTAATTAAAGGTGCTGTCTAATGTATCACAGAGAAACGAAAAAATTAAATACACTCTCAGGAAATGAGAGATTTTGTCACCTTTTTTCGTTTGTAATTTTTCCGAATTTTCTTTATGGCTACATTTAAAAAAAATCGCAAAATTTGCCGCCATGGGCCCCGGCCCATGTGTTCTGTGTTCTTAAGTTACTCTTTCGATTTATGTAGGAAGCAAAACACAAATCAACCCAAATTGTGTGTTGATTTTGGTGCAGCCTGCGGTGAATTCAGCAGAGAAATCAGTGGAAAAACCGGGAAACTCCAGAATCAACCAATTACCGAAGGCTTAGGTTATTCTGCGTTCCGCATTCAATACTGACCATTCGTTTGTGTTATTTTGTCTCTGTGAGTAAGTATTGTATGGTGTCCATTCGTCCATTTTCAAGTTCCTGATGTTTCGTTCGGATATACGTTTGACCAATCATCAGGCTCCTTATAGTATGTGTAGGTTTCAATACCAGTTTTGGGAATGGAACTTTTGCAAGACCAAACCCAAGCAATTTACCTTTCCCTCCCCACGTACTACAGGACTTAAAAACATCAGTAGGACGTGACGTGATTTGCGATATACCGATTGATCTACAATTTGAACCTATGAAAAAGGATCGATAAACAGGGTGTTCGCAACGAACACCTTAATAATCGGTCTTTTACCATAGCTTCAAATGGGGAAATATCTAAAATCGATCATTCATGCTTCGCCGCACTGAAAAACATCCATCTGTCGATCGCTCAATTAATCATTGTACATGAAAACCATAGTTAAGCATACTCTGCTGCTTCCGACACGGAAAAAAAAGTGGTAGGGGTTATCCCTTAAAATTGTGGTACTACCACAGTTTGTTGGATGCTACGGGCATTTCTAATTAATTGTGGTAGAATCGCAACATTTGGGTTGGTAACCTAATTTATTGGTGTGCGACTACGACTAATTCAAGTACTACCACAATTAATTGGAAATGTCCATATCACACGACAAAATCGTGCTTTTTTTATCCGTGGATCGAATTGACGCGTGCAGCGTGCACTTATATAGCGTATAGCGTATAGCGTATAGCGTGCACTTATATAGCGTTATAGCGTAGAGGCGAGCTTACAAGTTGGCGACACTGAACTTCACTCATTTAAATGCATGTAAAACAATCGATTTCTATCAAGGAGGACTGCATCACCTAGGATCTATTATGATGGATCCATTTGAAAAGAGGAATATCAGCATTACAAACTAGCGCAGTATGATGGTTCGGCCGATGCGTCCAGGAGCCCACCCCGCGAATTACTCCGGATATCCACAATATTTATAGTCGGTCGGAACTGCGGAAAAGTTGGGAGCGGGACCAAACCGTGCAGCAGACGGTGCAGACTAAACAAAATAGACATCAGTATCAGTCGAAAGGGGGAAGAAACGCCAGAAGGCGGGATGGTTTTTGTTTTGGCTCGACGGGAATTCAAGAAGCAGTGCGCCCAGTGCGGCCGAGACGGTCATAAAACGAGGCGGGAGGAGGGGAAAGGGGGGAAGGAGGGGAGGCAAAAAACTGCACATTGCACATACATGCAGAATGGGTTGGAGGAAAGTCTGTGCTCCGACAAACGCGATTCCGTGTTGCCGTTTCGACGACGAAACCGTGATGAATCGCAAGGGGGTTGGTGATTCCGGGCCAAAAACGGCAAGGCAGACACGATTGCATGCCAAGTTTAGGAGATACGTTTCGGGAAAATGGGGTCACAATATCGTCTCGCCGCGTCCGGAGAGGGGCATTGTGATGGGGGCATCTCGGAACGAAGGAACGTTCGCGGTTCGTCTATTCGCTCGCGAAGACAAGCGTGTCACCGAATTCACCAGAACTATGGACAGGGATCAACATCGGGAACGGCTCGGCTCTTCATGAGCTCAAAATAACTGGGGTTTCCCCTCTAGGGTCCCCGGTGTTATATTCTCATCTTATCCCCCTTTTTTTCTCACGTCTGAAAGCGACTGGATTTCAGCCGCTCTGGCTACGACCCATCTGCAATGCTCCTATTAACAATACGTACGATTTTTATACACCGACGCATTTTCATAAAATATGTAACAAATATTGTAGAAACTTTTTCTTACCGATTTTTCTGGCAAAGTTCAGTTGAAAATATCGATTTTTCTTGAAAAATCGGTAAGAAAAAGTTTCTACAAAATTTGATAAAGTATGACCAATAAAGTTAACAAAAGAAGTGAGATATGTAACGTTAAAATATGATTTTTTTATCACCTCCGTCGTTATAGCGCACTTGTACTGAGAGTGCGTACCCCCTCTAAATAAAAAACGAAACGTTCCCCCTTAAACTCCCTCCCGTACCAAAAAAAGTAGAAAAATCACGGAGGAGCTTGAGTATTTTCTTCCTCTTTTTTAATTGTGAAAAAAATAAAGATGGGCAAAATTGACAGAGGGGGCCGAGAGTAAAACAGAATATTCAGTTTTGAATGTAAGTCAAACTTACGTTGTTATTCTGGATGAACTGGTGCTTGTCTAACTCTTGACACTGATCTGAAACAAAAATAAGTAAAAAATATTTGTTACTATTTCGAAATGATTTCAGAAGCACATGTTGCGAGTATGAGATACATATAAAAAAGGAGGAAGAAAAAATCTACAGAGAGGAGCAGAACTTTCGTGAAACACCCGAATAGGAATGAGTAAAGTTGAACTAAAACGCACTTAGCGCGAGTTTGTGGTTGCGATGGACAAAGGAGGTAAGTAGTAAACTAATTAACGGCAACCCGCGATAGACCTTACAGTTAGTCCATCAATTTTCCCCTTATAGTCTATGACAACTATGCGTTCCAACGATAAGGATCGTTCCATATTCCCTAAATCATCTTTGTCTATAGCTTTGTGTAACAATTTCGATAATCAGCTCGCTGCAGCTGGTTGGCAACCCGCTACCTTTCCCCAACTTTGAGCTGGGGTATTAACAAGGCTTTCCAAACATGTCTGCCGTTCGATTCTTACACTTCCCTGACCTGGAGTCAAAAAGCGACAAACGATATCAGACGAGTGCACTGCGAAATATAACGACGAGTAAAACGAAAGGGGATAAAAATAGGAGAGACAGGCATGATTAGCTCAAAAGAGATGGGCGGTGAACCCGTCCTTACGCGAAAGCACAGCACAACGACCGAATCGAGAATCGATCGATCGAATCGAAAATATTAGCCGACCGAACGGAACGGAACGCCGAGCGGCAGAATCAATTTCCCATCCGGACCAATTACCGAGGTCGAACAATTGGACGTATTTATGCTGAAAGGAACTACGTACATAGGGTTTGTGCGAGACATAGATCCTTTCGGCATAAATCCGTCCAATTCAAAATACCGAATTAAAAAGCGTAATCGAAGAACGAGGCGAAGAATGAGAAGTGGGAGGCAACGAAGGAGAAGGTAGCGACGCACAGTGGATCGAGTCAATAACAGAGGTTGGACATGAAATTTTTGACAAAAACTGCAAATTTTGATGTCTAAATCGTCACAATTTAAATTTTTAGGAGGATTTCTAAAAGATAATTTCACGAGAAAACCGATTGACTCACTTTTATAACCTCAAAATGTTGTATAAATAGAGTTTTAAGCTTTTAAAGTTTCCAAATTTTGTCCAATCTCTCCTATTAACTCGTTCCACCGTGCGACGCTCCGATCGCTCACACATGAAACGCGCGCATACGCGGAGAAGCGAGATTAATCGCAATGACCTCTTGATAACAAAAAGAGGTAATTACGATTCAAGGTTAAAAGATAAATGTTTTCATCCAAGTTCCATTGCCCTATATAATTGACTCCGATTGGCTCCCGGCTCCCGGCGCGGTCGCCGTGCCGTGTTGTCGTCCTATGAAAAACAGCCGTACGTACATTCGAATGTTGCAAAATTTCCTCCGCCGCAATATTAATTTACGAGAAAACGTATCCAGTGCTCCCATTCCATGGCCGTCAAAAGTTCCGGGATTCGGAACTTTTTTGTTCCAATTTCTCCCACACCATGGCCGTCAAAAGTTCCGAGATTCCTTTTAGATTTTTTCATATGTTCCGAGAAAGTTCCGGAAAATGCAAAAGATCCGAAACATTTCGGAAATTTCAAAAGTTCCGGGGAAAATCTCATAATTTCCGGAATTTGGAACTAGTTCCGGGAAATGGAAGCACTCTGAACGTATCAATGAATTCCTTTTAAAATTAAAGACACACTAGATGAATTATAGATAAAGTTCAGCAAAATATTCATTGAGAAATAAAATGTGATTTTTATCGACGGAAAATTTGCATCATCTGAAGGTTCATACGGTGCTTTAACACAGCACAGTGGCTCACCGCTCGGCGCTCGCTCTGTCATTTTGACAGCAGGTGAAAATAAATGATGCGCTGAAAGACAGCTTAACGATGATCGATAGACATCGTGATTGGAAACGAAAAAGAATCAACACCTCGGAGCCCTAGGATCAATATTGGGCGAAGAAAAGAATGCAATAGGAACACGGCAAGAATAAATTTAGGCCGCAATAAAGTACTCAACGCCACAGGGGAGAAGAGGGTGTGCTGTGAGGTTTTTTCAGCATAACAGACGCAGTGACCAGATAGTCCAGTTTCAGTATAGGAATCCTTAAAATTTTAGAAATGGAAAATAAGAACATGATGTTAGGCTGCACTAAACAGAGTACTCAACTCCACAGGGGATAAGAGAATCTGTGAGGCTTTTTCAGCATAAACAAGTATGTAATTCCTTGCGTTTTTTATTCGCACGGCTACTATTTTTCATACGCGGTGACGCGGTGACAGGATAGTCCAGTTCAAATAGGAATCCTTAAAATTTTAGTAATGCAATAGCGTTAAGCGTGATTTTCACCAAAAAAAATTCATCTTGGCTTAAATCTGTGGGCAGTACGTGATTAGACGAGTTTTGAGGGTCACGATCGATTATTCTTCTTCGTCAACAGCTCTTCAAATCGTTCATATATAGACGATTTGCAAGAAATTCGCAAAGGGGAACGAAGAGGTTGCGGCGACTTCTAGAAAGAGCGCAATCCTGCAGTTCTCAGATCTGAGACAGCAATTAATAACTCAAGCACTATGAAGGACTCTGAGGGATGGGGGGATGAAGGGGGGAGTGCAGGGGCACGATTCAAATTGCAGCAAATAGTGAGTTGCACCCAGCTATAATGCCAAGTGGGACACATCCTGAGGAGGAATTTTTATTGAAAAGGATGTTCAACAAGATGCTCGAATTTTGTTATTACGCTGTTGCAGGAGAACTGCTAAGAATGAGCGTCGAGTACCGTGAATAGAGCTTTTAATCAACTAATATCATGCTAAAAACGAAAGATCGCAGTCAAACTGCAGCAAGCAACTATTACTGCTCCTGAGTCGCTCAAATTGTATTATCTGTTATTGAAGGCGCACTGACCGGCAGAGTGCGGAACATCGTAAACAAGGACGTTATCACTAAGCAGATATAGTGTTGAAAAATATTGAGAAAATGCCACCTGCGTTCCTCCGCTATTACTTATCGTTTTTTAGATAATAGGGACTAATCAGGGATAATAGGGGATTATAGGGGGATAATGGGGCCCCAAGGGAAAGCGTTTTTGGAAGAAAAATTATACCACAAAAACGTCCTTTCTGGACCCAAAGAATCGACTCCTTCAATATTCGTATACTTCTTAATATTGGGGCACCCTGCAAACGTCTCTTGTCGCGAAGTGGCCGAAGACCTGGCAGAAGCGGCAGCGGCGCTCTCCGGGCTGGGCTACACTGCGGCGCGGGCCGGGGCCGCGCTCGGCAGAAAAGAACAGCACTTCACCATCATCGTGTCATCGCGTCTCGCTCCCGTCTCAGCGTCTCGACGAGTGCGATGACTAGGACGACGACATGGACGTCTGTACGTGCAGACGGAGCCGAGAACGACAACGCAACGACATTCAAATAAAAATAAACTTCCGAATAAAACGCCGCCACGAGGGGCACCCAACGTCACTGCGCGCCTCCCCGCTCCGCCCCGCCGCTCTCCGGCTGAAATTGCACGCCTTAGCAATCGTCTCGGAGTTAGCTCCCCAAGTCGACTCCTCCCTCCCCTCTATGGGCGATTCGCGAAAGCTTGCTCATACCGAGATTCTTATACTAGGAATCACGCACCAAAATTGGAGACGCTTGAGAGAAAACGTCGATTCTCTGGATGTTCCGGGAACAAACTAAACTTCATCTTTTAAAGATGAAAGATTGATCGACACAGCGGTAGACAAAAAAGAATAAAAGAAAATGGAGCGCTCCTATTGGTGGAAGCAGATGGTTGCGATGGATAAAGGACGTAAGTAATAGACCAACTAAGGGCAATTCACGAGAAACCCATCGTCGGGCCGCGTCAAGCAGAAAGGAACCAAGCCACATCAGCTATAGCCAAATCCAACGAGGCAGTTTAATTTTTTACATGAAAATGCGTATTTTTGTGCACATTTCAGCAAATTTTCTGCACAGTACGAAGCAAATTCTTTAAAATTTTCAAAGGAAACCGCACTTAAACGTCCTCTGGTAAAACATTGAATTGCCCAGTTAAATTTGGCAATAGCCGATGTGGCTTAATTCCTTTCTGCTAAACGCGGCCCAATTAGCCCACCATTTTCCCCCTTAGACCTGACCACCCGTTTCCACCAATGAGAGCACTCCATTTTCTTCTTATCTCCTTAGTCTATCAATTTCAGTAATCAGCCCGCAGCTCCAGGTATAGCATAAAAAGCACCTGGAAGCATCCACAGACTCTTGCGGCGACAAGCGGGAAAAAAATGAGCTAAGTTTACAGTATTGATAGTGGCAGTGGTGGTTAGTAGTGGTATTAATAGTGGTGGCGTGAGAGGTGGCGATGGTGGCTCAAGGTAAGGAGCTGAGACAGCTATAATGAACGAGCTGGCTGGAGTTGAGTCTGTTGCCTGCTGGTAGGGCTGACACGCGTGCAGCGGCAGACGAGGAAGCAGTCGACTAATAATTACAGGTGTCGACGGACAACTGCAGTTATGACGCAACGAACCAACATCATCGGCAGAGGCACCGACAACAACTTTCATCTTCGATTCCACGCCTGCAACGCGCAGCGCCGAACGCTATGCCCATGCGCGCTGCAGTCTGCACAAGTGCACAACCTCGTCGCGCCGCACCGGCCGCATCGCTTCGGCGAGGCATTTCGCAGTGCAACTCAGAACCCTTTCAACTCTCAAACGCAAAGCGGCTGAGGCCAAACGCGGATCCAGACATCTCGAACGGAGGGGGAGGGGGGAGGGCGCAAGGGGCTTCCACAGAAAATTGTTGAAATTTCAAAGCACACTGGAAAAAAACACATGGGATCTAGAGTCCAGACTCTTGAAAACATTGACAAGAAAAAATACTCTTGAATCAATCGGATTTTTGCTTGAATCAAAACGAAATCCGCTTAAATTAAGGGGCTTGGTTCTTGATTTAAGCTAGATTCTGATGGAATCAAGAGTACTTTTTCTTGTCGATGTTTTTAAGAGC